ATTTTAACACAGACGGGCTTTATTGTGACCTTTTTGCCAGCAGACTAAAGTTTTCCGTAACATTATCACAGAGGAAACTAAAGACAGCAGCCCTCCCGGGGTGGCACTATAATTTGTGACCATTTAATAAAACACCCACAATTGTCACCCAAGAAGCAGCCCACTGGAGATAAGTGCATGTTCTCTCTGGACTGCTCTGGAAGATGTAATTATTAGCGAAAGTGCTATACAAACCGACTAAAATGGAGCAGTTGGTCCCAAGGTATTTCCACAGTGTTATTAATGTGCTGCAGTGACAGAATGGGAATATAATAAATAGCATCAGGTTGAATATGCAGTAGATACACAGAAATTGTGGCTCCAGCTAAACCCCACCACATTCATATTTCGGGATTCTGCAAATATGAGCTCTACACACCATCCATATCTTCAGCACCACACTAATTTTGTTCAAGTCAAACATACAATCATCTACGAAGCCTGAAAAACCTCTTGTTTTTTTTCACCGTCAAGTTCTCTGCTGCAGCTGAAATGTTGGAAATGGCATGTTATGAGTATGGTCAGCCTCATTACTGTGGTAAATGCAGACGCGAAGGCTTTATCATTACAACCTGTAATTTCCTAAAAAGATTGCACATTCAGCTGTGGACTCGAGTTGACTGCATGGCTGAAAACCCATTTCGCGCTCTGTCTCAACCAATTCATGGTGCCAGATCCAGTCATAAAAAGCTCCTCTCACTTGCCGTACATTAACTTATTAAAGTCATCTTTCGTCAGACCATTAATGTGCCTCCAGTGCATAAAATGATTAACAGTGGCTTCAGTCTAGTTCTGGCGTCGAATGAATCAAAGTGTGCAATAAACATCATTTGAACACTTCCTGAAGCGGAGGGGAGAGGATGTCATGAAATCATTTCAGTAACAACATGGCCTAAGTGTCACTGGGGCTAGCAGTTCTCTTGAGCAATTGTTCTGATTAATCGTGTAAAAAAAGAAATCTAATGTGAAAGAAGCACAAATAAGCGTGAGAGTGGGTTTCATAAAAAGCACGATTACCTCTAATAAATACTCCTCTATCTCAATTCTTTGGAAAACTGACCATACTGGGAATTCTGGCCTATGGGCCAGCAGTTGCTTTTCCTTCAGATAAAAACAAAACACCAGATTCTCAAAGGTGTCAGTGTGAAAGAGACAAAAAGATGGGAGAGAGAGACAGAAAGCTGTTGAGTTCAGGCTGTGGGCTTGTTGGCCCTTAGAGATGGGCTGTGTGACTGCTGGCTGATGCTGTCTTATTAAAAGTCCTCCTCTGCACATTCAACAGCACTGTCAAAAAAAGAATCTTCAAAACTTTGTTGAAACAGTTGCTGAATCGCAGGACAGAGCTGAGCCAACTTATAATGTCTGCCATAAGCATGGATTTTAAGCTCAATACTTAGCGCCGCCAGATCCCACTAAAAGAGAAGGAACCCTTTGACTCTGCACTGACTGGACAGGTATTTGTGAGGCTTATTCTCTCTCCCAGCCACCTATTTTTAGTTACTATGCTGTACTAGTATACATAAAGCTAACCAAGCAGTATATAAGCAATTTAAATCATCTCCAGGGGCAACATAAACAATATACACATTAAGCCATAGTCACACAGGCCTAAAGACTCATCAGACACCATCTGGTAACCACAGGTTGAGTGGGAAAATTTGGAATTCCCAACTCATCGACCAGCAGTTGCTGACTGAAATTGGTCTCAAAAAGAAAAGCCACTCAGGGTTTAGTACAGGGGCGGGCAATCTCAGTCCACGAGGGCCGGTGTCCCTGCAGCTTTTAGATCTCACCTTGGGTCAACACACCTGAATCACATGATTAGTTCGTTACCAGGCCTCTGGAGAACTTCAAGACATGTTGAGGAGCTAATTTAGCCATTTAAATCAGCTGTGTTGGTTCGAGGACACACCTAAAACCTGCAGGGACACCGGCCCTCGTGGACTGAGATTGCCCACCCCTGGTTTAGTATCTTGGCCAAGGACACTTTGGAGACAGGAGATTGAACTACCAACCATCTGATTAGTAGATGACCCGCTCTTCCTAACGAGTGACAGCCACCCTCAAGACGAATGACTTTGTTTCTCAGCTGTTCTTAAATTTCTTTTGTTTATGGTACGATGTGATGCTTTTTGGGATCGTTAAGCCTACGCCACCTCATCAGACAAGTTCAATTTAAGTGATTCATTGATTCAACGAGTCTGACAGTAATCAGGCCCGGGTGTTGCTTGTCTAACTGAACGCAGATTTCCCCAAAAAATTTGATTATCAATTCTGTAGATTTGTGATTTAACAGGGGTTTCAACTGTTGCACTTTGTAGTAGAAACATTGACATGGTCATACATATTCAGGGATACAGTGATTTTGTTTTCAAAATTTTCAATTAATCCTGGAGTCCCACATATAGAAATAACTAAATTCCCAAAGCTCAAGATCCAATGAAGTTGCCTGTTTATTTGGCCCATAGTCAGACCTCTTCAACTATTTAGTTCCCAAGTAGATGTTTCAAAGAAAATGAGAAACACCTGAGAAGGTGATAAATGACTAAAACACTCTAAACACTCTGAGAACGCAAAAGATAACCTTCGGTGTTCGTATGGTATGCGCCGGATTGTGGATGAAATCCAGTAGAATGACGTTCCTGGTGGTATTCCAGCCCTAACCACAACCTTAATCCCGTTAGATAGTGTTTTCCAAAGCGATTCATGATGAGAACGTAAAATAAATGCACATGTTTAGATTGAGTCCAAACGGTTCTCATGTTTCCTCCTTTTTCCGAACGCGTAACATAGAAACGTGTTGGGTTACCAACGATTTGTCACATAGCTTAATATGTGACGCTTTGGGAGTGAAACGTGTGCTACATGAAACAGTAGCATCAACCTGCTTGTGATACAACAACATTTATAGAGTTGCAGAGACTCTACGGTCTGTAGAGTCTCTGCAACTCTATAAATGTTGTTGTATCACAAGCAGGTAGATGAAAATGAAAATGCAAATGAAAATGCTCTTCAGCGCTCTTCACCACAAATTCAACAAATTCCACATTATGAGATTACCATTACAGTATTAACATTCCCGCATTATCATTACATTATTATAGTCCCACTTTTCTGCCATACACCAAAGTTTAAATCACAGAGCTCAGGTCTGGACAAGTCAATTAGTCCACACAAGCCGTACACGAACAGTGACAGCGTACCGTAATGGGCCCCATGCCAGCAGATTAATATGTGGTCCTTTACTACTAAAATGGCCTTTCTTAGTGAAGCTCCAGAGAATTAATTAAACCCATGCCATTTTGAGGAGCCAAGGACTTCAGGATAAAATGACCTTGATATGAAAATGGGTCTTACAGACAGATAACTACACTGACCTTATGTCAGTCCACTTAACCTTCTCAGCCCTGCATTTATTCTGCAAGTGTTACATGGTGAACCTGTTGTACGCCGACACCCTCTGCAGGTATGGCAAGGGCTGAGGTGGACATTATTTATAACTGAAGACCAAATGCTTTAGTTTTACTGAGAAAGGTCACACTGAACTTGTTATTTACAAAGAAAAATCTCACTGCAAGCTGTCACGCAAGCTTTCCATAAACACAAATGAGAAGTTTCGTGTCGGCTGCCAGTAACAAACAAGAATAAGAGATTAAACGGCACAAGGTGCACTTGATTATTTTAGTTGCTATGCAACTATAAAAAAGAAGTGCATGAACTGCAGGGTGCTTAAGGAGCAACTGAGTGTGTGTCCCTGATTTGACCTCTTTTGAAACCAATTTGCGATAAACAGTGGGTCCACAGATGGTCACTTATTACCACCTGCATGAATAATAAAGGAAAAGGTTTTTAGCACTTAAAGAGAGGGACAAAAATGAAACATTAAATCAGAAAAATAAACACTTCGCCCCTCTGCAGGAATTCTAAAAAGGTATGATACTGAGGTATCACTGAGTGGTTCTCTCCCAGCAGTCTGCTCCTGCCTCTCAGGGGAATAGTAGAAAAGGTACCAATTGAGGCAGAACCACAGCCCCAGGGGGCAGTGGAGGTGGCTTAAAATCCCCTGCCAGTGCTTTCAATACCAGATGCCGGAGCCTGGTTGACTTTACGATTTTGCGTAATTTTGTTTTTGGCTAGTCTATCTTCTTGTCAGGTCTTAAAGCTGGTCTCTCATCTGAAGCCAGGATAAAACTCCTAGTTGAGGTGGGCAAACACAGCTCCGGTGATGTACTGCTCCCCCAAGAACAGCCAGTGCAATAGCTCAATCCCATTAAAAAAGAAGTACAAGATCGAGACAGAAACAAAACATGACCTGGACTTAGGATATACTTTGTATTCATTCACACTACACAAATGACCCGTTTCAGCTGCCAGAAGCAAGATTAACCACAGTATCAAAATGGAACAACAGACGGTTGCTACTCAGTGTTCGAGTAAATCAGCGACTAAACAGAGTCCTCTTTTCAGAGTTAGCAAAGCAAGTCGGACCAATGTTTTTCTCTTCACTTCTTTTTTTGGGGGGAAGGGGATCTTAACTTCCACAAATAGGTTCAACTTCAGTTTACAGCTCCTAGGAAACCAACACCAAGGCCTTAATTATTTGTCAACTGCCAACAAGGCGTTACTGTATCTATCTGAAACGAGAACATCAGTACGTTAGAATAAAAGTCTGTCAAAGGGAGTACTTGTAGCATTTTCCTAGGATGTATTCAAGAAAGCTAACTAAGATATATGTAAGAGGAGAAATTTTGTCTGTTCCTGTATAAAAGTGCAGCCCAACAGACCTGGCAGACAAAAGAAGAGTCAACAACTTGGATGACTCAAACTTTAAATTAGCTACATAAACTGCTTCTTTGATTCTGCAGATGCACTTTAACACTGTCTCATAACGTGTGCTGCACCTGTTGAAACCTCTGACAACAACATATATTACAACTGGATTGCCAATAGCATGAACTCACCTTTGGCTGTGGCGATAGACCCATACAAATATCAGAGCAGGCTGACATTTATCAGAGCAGAGTCACAACTCTTGGGCTGCTGTACCTGAAAAACAGATTAAAGACATTTCAGAATTGTTTGAGGGCTAGACAAAGAGGATGAATTTACAAGACCAAAAATATGGTTTCACCTAAATGGGGACAGATAGCATCTATATATAAACCCATAAAAAGCATGGGTATGTTTCCAAGCAAAGACTTCTTCTTAATATCTTAGATATTGTGGTTGGTAAGCCACAGTTACTGCAGAGAATATTTCATGACTTAAGTTGCTGCAAGAACTAGAACAAGGAACTGCTGTACAGTCAAGAAAAGGGATATCTATCATTCTATCATCTATCATATAGAGATCGTTTTACACATGACTGTACAAAGTCCTCACATGACTCTATGCAGTCAAAGACAGATGGTCAACTCTACAAAGGCAGACGTTTTGAACGTTTGAAGTCTGGATCATTTAGGCTTGTGTTAACACCAAGCCAAAGACAGATGCCAAAGACATCAGCAATGATCTGAGAGAAGCAATTATTGCTGTCCATCAATCTAGAAAGTGATATGACGCCACCTCCAAACATTTTGAAGTCCATTTTGCTGGGCCCCCCTTTGTTTTACACGAAAAACATTCGCGCCAAACACATCCTCCAACCACACACACCCATATTTTGCTCCATTGTGGTTTATTTCACACCTCAAACATTTAGTAAACAATTAAGCAAATACACGTAATCTGCAATAAATTACAGATAGTAAGAAAATAAACTACTAACTCTTTAACGCTATGTCCACACCTACACGGGTATTTTTGAAAACGCAGCTGTTTCGTCCACACGTAAACGCCGTTTCGAATCACCAAAGTCGGAGATTTTTTTAAAACTCCTTTTTTGCGGACGAGGAATACAGAGTTCGTCTGGCAACGTCAAAGGTATGTGCCTCTTTTCATGTCAGGCTGTGCGCCACGTTATTGTTTACATGAGATGAATTGCAG